CAATGTCAAGTGAGCAACTTTGCAGCTAGTAGAATCCACCTTATTGGTCAATTTTGTACAACGTTCCCTGCGCCAGCCTTTCCTTTCACAGGTAGCGAAACTAATGCATTCAGCCATATGGTGTCAGCTAGATGTCTTCTAGGAGCGGTACATTTAAACGAGACCAACTTCTTATCACAATCATTACTTCGCTCAGTCGCGGGTCTCAAGCCGAATAAGGAGGCTAAGGGCTTTACCCAGTGCTTATTGTCTTTAGAATCTGGCTTAAGGTTTCTTGGGAACATGGCTAGAATCAAGGCAGTATCAAAGTGAGGCGGCGTCGCAACTCGTTCTCAAGTAACCCAATTTGTAAATGCTATAAGTTCTACTCGGCGCTGCTGACCCCTATTTTTCAAAAGAACTACGTGCACGGCTACTATAGAACGGCCAAGATTAGAATAAGAGTATGAATGCCATGACAATCTCCCTCCATTGACATCGGTGACTATATCATTTTCTTCGCTGCACTGACAGGAACCGAGCAACGTACGGTCATTACGTTATTTCCAGTTAATCCAGAAGTAACTCACGGCAAAGCATTTCTCTGTTCTTGAAGGCTACTTTCAGGACCGGACACATAGATACTCGATCTGAACCCATACATTGAATTTTCATGGAGAAACTAATGCTCAGATCTCAGAGTTGGCGCAGGGGTTTGCTTCCATCTCTAATTCGAAGGCACATCGATTCGAGCAATGAATTTTTCGGTGGCGTCGATCATTATGTACTGATCCCGAAGAAAGAATTATGCCAGTATACAACCAGTATACAATATAGAGTCCGAACAACTCGTCACTGTCGATGACAGAGACGATGTCATCGGCGTTCATCATGTTCAAAGTTCCAACAAGGGTGAATCCTGTTCTAAAGTGCGACACCTCTTGGCCTGACCATTACATACGGACAGGGTTGAGAAATGCGACCTTCAGCGCATCCATCAAGTATCGTGATTTGAAACTTTTTCACTTGGCTCTGGTTCCTCTTTTCCTAGTTAGGTTGTTAATTGCTGTTTTGTGGGAAGTCAGTCAATGGTAGAAAAAGCAATAAGCAGATATGTATTTTTGTATCAATTTAGTGATAAAATACTAAGTTAGTCAATTATTTGGTACGCTGATGGAAGTACATACAGTGATTCAGATGGCATATCTATAGAAAAGCCTTTTCTTCATCTTGCCGATAAGATTGAATTTGGATCGACACGATTCTAGTTATCTAGCCGCCTGCAATCCAACCAGTTCGTCTGCTCTTCGAAGTCAGGTTAGCTATGGGATTAAACGGCGGTACCAACGCCACAAGAAATCACGATGGTATTCGGACTCGAGTTTTGAATATGACTTGAGGAATTCGAATCTGATTTTGGACATTTCTCCCTAGCACGAGTCGGGATTACGGAACATGTACTGCTAACTGGCATGCACAGGGACGGATGGCCTTCTTGATCCCAAATAAATTCACGTCCTCAAGGATGAGGAGCAAGTCTACGGCATATTTCATCGTTTAGTAGAAAAATTCAGTGCTTCCTCCACAGCACACCTTGAGACTCGATTCTCCGTCCGTGCCTGCATCGCATATGTATACATATGTAGGTATAGACGAAGATTCTTTTCTGCCGGCGTAACAACGGGGCCGCAGGATTCAAAGGAATTTATATGTAGTTTGATGCACGCGTCCGTACTAGGCGTGGGTCAGCGACTCATTCTCTCATACACATGGCCTCGAGACTACGCGCGTGTTCAGTACCGTTACATGCTCTCGGGCCTGAGCGCCTGCAGTGGGAGCAGAGGGTTCCATGCACATTGTCATGAGTTCTTCGTGTCCGAGGCCTCGTTGGGTGCATTTACTATTGATGCCAGGAAGAATACTACTTGTGCACTTATACTATATATATACAGTGGGGAATTTTTCCGATGGAATACAATCACTCCGTGTCCGACATATGTAGACGTTCTTATCAATCAAACGGTTTGCTCAACTCGAAAATCTGCTTTTTCTTTTCTCGCTTTTCCGGTCTGGTTGATTCGTGAAATCAGAATTTCTTTGGTTCTTTATTACCGAGCGATAACTCTTGGCAGCTCATGTCCATGCCATTTGATGTCGCCCCGCGCCTTGAGGCTCGATATCACCGATTATCTACATAAGTATGCATTAGCCGAAAACAAGAGAACATATGTTTCGATTCCCGAAATCTACCAGGTCAAGACTAGGGCACAAGCGTGTAAGTCCTTTTTCGCTCGTATCACTTACCATTCGGATCTTTCTTTCCTGTAGAATGCTTACATATGGATGCGTGTGCACGATGTAAGAGGGTGTAAGTGATTAGATTTGATTTCATATTGGGATTAGGCACGTCGATCCGGAGTACAGAGTTTGCATTTTCTTTTTTATGTATACCTAACTCGAGGCGAAGCGAGGTGAAGAATGATCTCCATGATGTTTGATGTTCGATCAAGATCAATTAAAGAAACTGAGAAGTTCAGACTCAGAAACTGACGTTGAGTAAATTAGGGTGTTCAATGACCTCGAGTCTGAGTTTAAGTTGGCAATGCTGTCTGGCGGCTGGCCTTCAACAAGCTGTATTGGTCCAGGAAAGGAACTAGGACCGAGACATCCGACACGATGTGGGTGTATTTGATTAGTTTGCTGGTCAGGACTGCATTCAAGGTGCCCAATATAATGGGGTTCTGAAGTTATACAGCGTACTGTGCTATGTGATGATATCAGTGCTCGCTAGGAGGCTGGCGGGTAGATATATCGTAATAAGCTAACTTCAATTCCGCCTCTTCATCCGCACTCCATTCACTCGGAACTTGATGCCTGCGATAACTAGGGACAAGCTACCAATTTAAGGTTAAGACATAATAAGACGAACCGTATGTCAGCGTCAAATGGAAAAATTCAAACTAGCCATGATACTATATGTAGAAGCGGATAACGAGAGGCTGAACGCGGTCAACGGTTGTGATGTATATGGGCTACTTTCGGCATTTCTGTGGAGTACGCGTCTGAGCTCGAGGGGAAGCTCCGCTGGGGTGTGCTGCTCAGAACATGTCGTATGTTGACAATTCTGAAATGAAGTCTGTGCATCATTCAATTCACTGTACAAATATGAGTGAGTTGGTTCGAGCTCCTGGTCAATAAGATACCAACATTTGAGTGATGTAGAAACATAGTATTTTCGAGGTTTCTTTTGCGGTCAGCTCAGATGTTCTGTATATTCAGCTTTGACATCAAAATCGAAATTGAATGAATGAGCACCACTGTGAGTGTTAGCTAGCAAGGTCTTTCTGTTGGCAATTAGCGATTAACAGATGCCACAACGGTCAAAGATTTGGCCCGTTGGGTATCGGTTTCGAACCAATTATTGAGTTGATTCAAAGCCTGCGCAATGATAAAGAAAATGTGAGGCGGTGATCACTGAGTTCGAGGAATACACTTGAGCATGTTAGACATCGTCTTCTTGACGGCCTGGGCTCGTACGTACAAATTCTTCTTGCTGATGTACTGTGATCCTAAATCCACCTCACAGGGTCTTCACCGGTGACCGGTGGAACATCGGGAACTGAGTACCACTGCTGTAGAGTGACGATGGTGTTTCGATTGAACGAGGCATTCGAGAGGTAAGTAATAAGAATAACGTCGCTCACACTCACCATCTAGGCTGAAGTAACCGCTGTTAAAGAAGTTCATCTTTCTCAGGATGATCATGCTGTTGAACAATCAATATCTTTCCGCAGGTCATAGCGATTCCGTATCACGAAATACAGCTTCAGCATCACGATCACAATTTGGTCAGCAACACTACACAGCAATCAATTTTAGTGATCAAACTCAATTCTCGAAGCCTGAAGCTAGTGGTTCACTTGGGGGACCCTGGAAAATGCCTCGAGCTCGAGCTCTTCCCGAAGGGCTGTTAAACGGGCAGTAACGCGGACAGATAGATTGCTGGAATTTGAAACCCAAACATGCCATTCGAACGCTCCAAGTTCACGCCTTTCCAGGCACGAGAATCTCCATTGTAAACATATTTTTCGGTCCTTGTTTCCGAAAAACGTGAAAAAAAGTTGGGGAAACATAAAGTTTGAATATTCGAATTCAAATATTTACTCTATCCAACTGCACGCCGGATGACGATGAACGATGACCTGGCAGGGACACATGCAGGTAAAAGACAAAAAATGAGGCGTGTCGTTAGTACTTACCCGACCCACGTCCCCGTTCGTCCCCACGTCGACAAGTAACCAGAAATTTGGGTTGGGTTTGAAGCGACCGGGCCCAACTCTTCCGAACGGCTAACCGTCGTGGTCAACGGCGACAACGGTGGCGGTTTCTGGGACTTCTCCGAGAGCCCCGCTTAATATTGACCAGAGTCAGTTAGAGGACCCAGAATAATTAGTATCTGACTTATATTCCTGGTAAAAATATCAGTTCGCAGCGGAAAGAGAAAAAAGGTGAGAATAAAACTGAACGAAACTAGAAAGCGAGGAATACATGGACCATCTAGTCACAAACTCTTCAGTGGTGGTGGGTCTATTGTAACAAAGACCCCTACTCGTCTTCCTAGGTAAGTGGATGTCCTAAGTCTATGTCGCTGCATTAGGGCGATTTGTTAACGCACTTTTTCGAAAGGAATCGAGTCAGAACTTGAATGATACGACTGTCTCAATCTTGGGGTCATTGAACCAAGTTTGGGGACTTTCGGGCTCAACTCTGCATGAAGAGACGTCGGTGAATTTTGCGTTGTTAGAATACTTTACGTCTAATTTTGACTCGGTTCACTGTTCAATCGCGCTAAATAGATTCGACGAATGTTACTTGCCTGAATAAAAACCGATTCGAGCCATTGTCGCTGTGGTCAGAGGTTGGAAGATGTAATCAAAATATCTGCGAATAGGTACTCATGTTTAGTATTATAAGGAGAAACGGACGAAAAGAAAAAGAAGAACCAAGAAGATGTGCAGACATTCCCTCTAGCCGACTTGAACGACTGACCTCGTCATAAACCACATCTATGGAAAAGTAAAGATACTAGTGACGCGCTCTACCACTGAGCTAAGAGGGAGACAATATTAGCAAGTATGTCGCTGGCTACTGACTCAGAGACAGCTCAGGCTGTACTGCAATAATTGCAAGAATACTTGTGGTAATGAATCGACGTCTGTCTGTTTGAGTTCTTTCCCGTCAGTTTGAATGTCGACAACGGTGGTAATACTCACCGGTTTCTTAACTTGAAAAGGGTAGGGCGACCCGAGTACAACGATATGTAGTCCTGGAACCATAAACGCGCATTTCTTCCCTGTCGCGCATCCCTTGGCAACCCAAGGGAAGTAATGGCTACCTAGGTTAGTATGACGCTAAAGAGATTTCATATATTAATATATACTATATACTAGTAGTAGTACCTATGTACCATTAGAATAAGTAGCAAGCAAGCAATATACATATGCAACATCGTAAACGAACACAACAGTCTCTACCTGTTTGCCTTTGTCCGTCTGTCATTAAAGAAAACACGAACGAATCCAAGATTTCGATTTCATTATAACTGTCTAAAACAACCCCGACCCAGGGAACATCTGTGACCCTTCTCCTTCCCCACCAGACATGGTCAAACTCTTCCTCCTACTCCCACTCCCACCACCTCCTCCACTCCCACCCATACTCGCATGTCTGCTATGTCGCCCTCTATACCCCGAACCAGCCCCAGACCCTGACCCCGACAAAGGGGAGTCCACGTCATACCCTCTCATTCTCCCAGTAGCACTTCCTCTTCTCGGTTTCGTATCTTTATCCTCCTCCAAATCAGTCTTGAACGGATCTACATCCCCCTCTTCCTCCACCTCTTGCACCACCTCGTGTGGCACTCGTTCCTCAAGGAACTCTTGTGGCACAAAATCATCCTCATCCTCATCTTCCTCCAAAACAGGAGGCCTTGATCTCGGAGGAGACCTCGTACTCATCCCAATCTCTTCATGCACTTGTGGTTGTCTTCGCAGCCCAAAACCAGACCCAGAACCCGAACCAATGCCAGCCCCAACTCCCGAACCAAACAACCCAAATCCAATCCCAGACTCTGAACCTGAACCGAGTCCTGAACCAAACCCAGAACCAGGCGGTGAAGTTGAAGTCCTAAAGCCGAGTCCAGACGCGGACGCAGAAGCAGAGGCAGGACCACCAGGTGGCGGCGAACGACCTTGGCTCGAACCCTTGTTCTGGCTTTGTGAAATCAAATTCACGGGTTCCATATCCATATCCATATCCATCGCGACTTGAATGTCTTCCGGGTCCGTAGGAAGCTTTGATGACGAAGATACCGTTGACAGAGGTAACTGCTGGGTTCGGGGAATCGGGAATGAAGGTTGTCTCGAGTGCGTAGGCTGTGACTGTTGTTGTTCCCATTGTTCTCGCTGTGACCGAGGCTGAGATCGAGGTTGGGCATGAGGCGAAGGAGGTTGCTGCTGTTGCCGCTGAGCGCCACTCGGTCCTGCAACTGGTCCAGAGCTAGGTCCAGGTCCAGGCGTAGGTCTACCTCTCACAGCGTTGTTGTTACTGTTGTTTGTGTTGCTGTACTCAAACTACACAATAAACAGCGTCGGTCAATCAATGTAAATACAACAGAGGAGAGGATACTCACGACGCCCCAAACCTTCTCCCAACCCTTCCCCCTCCTTTCCTTCTTCTCAACTCTCTGCCCTCGTAACCCAACCTCCTCTCGCACTTCAGCAATCTCCCTCTTTATCCTCTCGACACTCATGCCCCTCTCCCTCTCGATACAATAACACAACCAAAGCGTGTCGGCCACATCACCAACAACGCCCCCTACGAAACCACCCACCAGCCACGTTACTCCACCTCCCAGAACCGCTGCTCCCCATGCATATTCGGGGCTTCGTAGAGCGTGAGAGACAAAGAGGAATATGAAGAGAGAGGTAGGTAGTGTCAGAGAGAGTGGGAGAAGGGGGAGTGTTGGGAGTGATACAATTTGTTTGGGATTTCGGGTATTCTTGTGTCCTGGACTGAAAGCCGCGTTATTGTTGGCATTGGAGGTTGCCGCACGGCCCTTGCCCCTCCGACCACCACTCATGTTCGAGTTGATATTCTGGCCTGGATGAACCTGAGCAGTTGCTTGCGTCTGAACACCCCCAGCCCTAACCGCACTCTTCCAAAACGAATCTCCAGTCATCCCAGCCCAAACAAGTACATCTCCACTTATCGCTTTCGTCCATCCATCCACGTACCCTACTAGGTACCTCAAAAACACGTAAAAGCCTCTCCGAATCACTGTACCTAGGACAGTAAATACCGATACTGTACCTCGTATAATCGACCCGAGTATGGTGGAGGAAGAGGTTACTTCGCGAAGGATTAATCCTACACCTGAGGAAGTAGAGGTACCGGAAGAAAGAGAAAGACTACGAACGATCCAAGTCCATATATCCTCGATTAACAACGGAAGACGCTCGAGGAAGAGGACTAGGAGGGTAAGAGTACGAATGGCGGCTAGGATGAGTGCAGCGAGGGAGATGGTTCCCAGGGATCCGTGCGTTGCTCGGTGGAGGGAAGAATGGAAGAGGTGTGTTTGTATTGGGGTTAACCAGTTTTTTGTCGAGTTATTGCTGAGATTTAAGAGGTGCTGGGTAAGGTTTTGAGTCGCATGGTGTCGTTGGCGGTGAGGTGTTAAGAGTTCGGGGGGAGGTGTGAGTAATTCGTCTGCTTCCCCGCCTCGTCTCTCTTCTGAGATTTCGTCTTCTTCGTCGTCAGCTTCTTCGACACTAACAATGGACCTTGACCCTTTCCAACCGAAATACCAGCCTCCTACAACGCCAGCAACGACTACTCTCATAATACCCCGTACGACACCCCAACTCCACAACCAGACACCTGTAGCGAGGAATATGGCATACGGCGTCCAAGTTCTGAGGTGCCATTCTTCTTTAGAAGCATACCCGATAAGGGAGAGACGGAATATGAGCGTGAGGAAGGGGATACTTCCTAGTAGTGCTATGAGGAGTAGACAGGGTGATAAGACGAGTAGGAGAGGATGTGAGATGAGAATGTCTGTTGACAGGTTGAGCAAGGCTGCAGAGGCGTTGATGCGAGCTAGAGTTCGGGGAAGGTCGAACTGGGAGAGACGATAGAAGCGGAAGAGGGCGTAGAGGGAGAGGAGGAGAGGGAGGATTGAGAAGAGTCGGAGACTGAAGTATGAATTAGTCTTAGTAGTTGAGAGTAGAAAAGAACACACCCAACAGTCTCTCCCCAGGTCTCGTCGACCTGGTCATCCTCCCACATGAAGCTGCCTACGAACCCTACCACTGCGCAGACCCCCAACATGAGTGGTACACAGACAGCTGTGACGATCATGACTGGCCTAGCCCAGAGTCTCATTGCCCATAGGTTCGCATACGCTAGTGCAGCAGCAAAGAACGTTGTTATCGTCATGAGAGGAACAGTGTGCAGCAGAGTATAATACGGTAGAACCCGAGAAGGCGTTCCTTTTGGTTTATGTGTAAGAAACAAGACCAGAATGGACGAAACGAGCGACGTTGACAAGCTGAACAAAAACAAGGTGGTCCACAAGGCATCATGATACTTTTCCCTTAGTAGCGAATACGGATTCGTCGGGTCAGGAAGGGAAAACACTCTATCCACCCCATCTTCATGCATCAACGACTCTGTCAACGATAAACTCTGTGGCTGCTGTTGTGGTGATGGGAAAGTCGGTATCGTCCTTGGAGGAGGTAAAACCGGCGACCTCGTCGTTACCCTCCCCCCTTGATGCGCCAACCATCCCCCATGCGGACTAGATGACCTCGAGGATCCCGACAAGGGCGAGCTAGATCTCGAAGACATGAGTGGTCTCGTTGGCTCTGCAAAGTCGTTGTCTAGTCTCAAATACGGGTCATCGTCGTCATCCCCACTCAAATGCGGATCCTCCCTGTCCTCATCGTCGTCATCGTCGTCGGGGTGCTGAGCGGGATGTCGGGAACTGGTGTCGGTGGTGAAGGAGAAGAACATGGGTTGCGAAGAGATCATGCTGGATTCCGGTGGTCGGTTTATAAACTGCGAGGCGTATGCAGCAAATGAGGCTGCCATTTTGGAGGAGGAGAGACGCGTAACGAGTCACCTGATCACACACATGTTGCCTAAATCCAGTTGCGTCTCAGTCGTATTCAAGTCGACAAATGCTTCTTGATGACAAGGCCAGTCGTTAAAGTCACCGGATATAGACTCAGTTTCGTGCCTTTAGACTACTGGACTCTGAGATTTGAATCTAAATCTTAGCCGGATAGGTGAGTCAGAAAATGTAATCAATACTTACCTCTCTGTTAGCTAGGATTGCGATATAGGCTAGGTACTTGAATTCCACTCATGTAGCTAACCGTCCTACTTGAAATCCTCTGAAGTATTTGACATATCGATTTATGCACTCGAATCAGTTTGCAAGAATTCATTCACCACGAGTCTTATCCAGATAGATGTACATCCCCTTTAGCTCAGTGATAGAACGCGTTAGTGTTTCGAAAGAGGTCGTATACTGATGACGATGTTCGTTCAACTCGGCTAGGGGGGATTTCGCTGCCTCGAGTAAGAACTACAGCCAGTTTTGGTACTGAAAGCATTCACAACTCGCCATGTCTGCATAAGCAGTATGGCTTGGGTCCCGCTTGTGCTATCGTTCAGTGACAGTGTCAAAGTAGTCTGCCGATTAGCATGCTGCTTCCCTCTTAGCTCGCCGGTGCACAGTGCTGTATTCAGGTCAGCCGTTCAAATCGGCGAGGGAGCTATGCAGGCGTCTCTATTCCAGCCTTTTTGTGGCTGTAAAGCTCAGGGCGATTGCTGAGATTTTATACTCAATATGGAGGCTCTCGAAGTAAGAAATTTCACCGTCTCTAATTCTATCTTGCATACTTAAGTTCTAAGTATCCGGTGTTGCCGTTACTTTGCTATGAAATGAAAGGTGGAGACCAGACACGACTGTACACAAGTCGCGGTGGTCGCCGGTCCGGCCTAAGCTTATGTCCGTAATTGGAAAGCACCAAACTTCCCTTCTTCCGTCAAAGC